TATTCACAGTTATTTTCATGACCCTCTCCCCGCAGCAGAGAGTTGAATCATTCATTTAACATACTGAAGGTTTTATCCCGACTAAATCACGAATAAAATCCTCAAATCGTTTTAAGGTAGCAAGTAATAGTTTTCATCTGATGTCTCAGAATGTTCAGTTTCTTCACTTTCAGCATTAACACAACCTTCGTTGTTGATATTTTCTTCCATTTTGAGTCTGCTCCCCATTCTCATTGCCCTACGCAGCTGATTCCAAAACAGGTCTTGGGCCTGCATTGGGTTAGTGCAGTCTGAGTCAGGCCACTGCAGATAAGTCTTTTTTAACATGACTTTCCGCATGCGGTGATAGGCTGACAGCTGCCTCTCAGAGATTGGCTCCAAGAACACGAGCAGAAGAACATCTCGGTGCTCATCAAAGAGTCGGTAGCTGGCAAGCTGGATTTCTAGTGAACACCACTCACTTTGTAGGAAATTCCTGCTCACCACACAAATAGTTTTACGGCTGCTGTATACAGCAGAGACAATGTTGTCCACAATATCGCGGCCCAGTTCAAAGTCCCTGTGATGTAGGCAAAGTTTAAAAGATGATCCATTTCCCTCCAGGTTAGGCAGCAACTGGTCCATGACCCATTGTTCATCAGAGGAATTATAGGAAATAAATGCATCATATTTGCAGTTTTCCTCCTCCTCCCTAAGCCTGCGCCACTGATCACTAAACCATGAACGGAACACATAGTAGCTGTACTTCATTTTCCAGTAGAGCTTGACATAAAGTAAAGGAGTGACTGTGAACAGGAAGATCACCACCGCTGTGCTAAAGAACAGGTACTCTCCTAGATCTATGTAACAAACATTAGTTTTAAAGTTGTGGAATTTGTAATTTGCATCATTTTGGCACTGTAGATTATAGAGATATACAACCTGAACATTTTTGTTATATATTGTCCAGTTTTGCAGCAAGCTGTTCTTGCAGGTGCAGCTTAAAGGAATGTTACGTATGTCAAGGTAGAGGAGTTTTGGTAGACTCTGTAGTGCATCTACCTGAATGCTCTGCATCACATTGCGGTTGAGCTGCAGTGAGCTTAACTGTGTAAGATTCCCAAAAACCTCCTTAGAGAAGTTCTGAATGCCCATACTTTCTACAGTCAATTTGGTCAAATTTCTTAGATTTTTAAAGACTCCTGGTTCTAGTTGTGTCACCCCAACACAGCACTTATCCAGTGTGAGGAACTGTAAGCTTGTCAGATCATCAAATACATCAGGAGGCAGATGAAAGATGTTATTGTTGGTGAGATACAGATATTTTAGTGAGTAGAGGCCACGAAAAAAAGTGTGGGGCAAAACGGTCATGCCATAAGGCCGCTGCCCATCCAATTTCAAATCACTGAGTTTGCTGAGATTCTTAAATGGTGAGCTGTTATTTTCAGTGAGGAAGCGAATCTGATTACTTTGTAAATCCAGCACTGTGAGTGTATCTTGAAATACACGATAGATGGAGGTGTCAATGTGTTTGAGGTTGTTTCCATCTAGATAGAGTTTGGACAGACTTTTTAGTCCATCAAAACCTGATGGCTGAAAATGAGTGATCTTATTACCTCCCAGGTCCAATGTTGTCAGATTCCAAAGCATGAGGAAGGTCCCATTGAAAATGACAGAAATACGATTGTTGCGTAAGTTAAGGACTTGCAGTTTGTTATTGTCTTCAAAAGTCTCATTGAACAAATCAGTTAAGAGGTTATTGTCCAAACGGAGTTCCTCAAGCTTTTTCAGCCCTTTGAGAGCTTTACGATCAAGAAAAGCAATTGTGTTTATGTTAAGTTGCAGCTTCTTGATATTTGGCGTATGAAAGAAAGCAAAGGAATTCACTGAGAGAATGCGGTTGTAACGATAGCTCAGCTCTTCCAGACTTTTTAAACTAACCTTAGTTTGTTTGTTACAGGATTGGAGGGAGGTGAGATGGTTATGCTCTGCATTGAAGCTTTTTATGTACGTCTGTCTTCTGAGAAAGCTAAGACAACTTGTGCTTTTCAGTTTGTTGCGGGATAGATCCAGATCCCCTGTGATATTAGGACAGTAGTACAGTGTGTAGTTTGTTAGATGCCCAATCCCATTATCACTCAGGTGCAGATTTTTAATCCGATTAACCTTTCTCCTTAACAATTTGCATAGCTCCATGAGCAGGCTGTCATTTTTTAGACCCAGGCCAGAGAAATCAACCTGACCTACTTTGACGTTGCTGATGTTTAAAAACTCCACTACCCTGACATTTGTTGAACGCAAACGCAGATAGTTTATATGTCTCAAATCCACTCGTTGAAAAGCTGTCGTAGGGAGCCTAGAATTGTATGACAAATCTAGTATGTTGATGAACCTGAGAAATGAATCTTTACATCCTAATGTAGACAGATTGTTTCTACATATATATAAAGTAGTGAGGGATTTGGGTAGCGACACATTTGAGTGGCTGAGAGAGGTCAAACTGTTATAGCAAAGGTCTAATATTTTCAGATTCATTAGATGTGACACAGACTCAGCGATCTCTGAGAAATTTGTCAGAAGGTTTTGCCTCATGTTTAAAGTGTTTAGATTGAGAGTAGCAGAGAAAATGCCCTCAGGGAGTGTCTTTAATTTATTGTCTGACAGCGACAGAGAGGTGAGATTGTGAAGGTCCTTAAACAGATAAGGGTTCAGTTCTGATATGTTGTTAACAGATAAATTTAGAGACTGAAGTTGATGCAAGTTTTGGAAAGCAGATTGATCGATGGTATTCACGGGGTTATTGTCTATTCTTAGGTATTTAAGCTTTGGTAGACGAACAAAGCTGCAGTTGCAGATGTGCCTCACATGAGTCTTGGAGATGGTGAGATTGATGGCAGATGTTGGCAGGTCATGTAAAATAGCAGACATCTTCTCTTCCTTTCGACTGATGCAGTTGAAGAGTGATCCATTTGAGCGTGGATCTGCAATGCAGTTTTTGAAGCTATAACCACTTATGAGTTGAACAGCACCAAGAACAACTGTAACTGACAACAGCTGATGAAGTAGACCAGCCATCTTATCTTGTTGTAGTCCAGAGAAACGGTCCTTTTAAAATTTAACTTTCATCGGTGGCTTTGTTGATTTGGTCTGTTAGAATATGTTGAAAAGGTCTCTGGGTTGTTGATTAGTTAAACGTGGTACGGGAATCTGAGAACAGAGAGCAGGACAACACATATGTTATGTTGTATGAGCAAATTGAAAGTTACATTTTTAAATCAGGCTAAGAACAAAATTCTTTTCAACTACTGTACCTTTGTATGGAAATTCTTTACTTTCTAAGCAGAAAAACACTAATGCAGACCTGTTACCACAGTTCTTATGTATATATCACAATGTTAGTCCTGTTTACCTTTACAGGACATATGGAAAATTAGATGAATAATTTGACATCCTTCTCCAAAATGTTTTGTCTTTGGTTTTCAGGTGAACATTTATATTTGAATTGTAAAGCTTTTCAAAAGTCTGAAATGTACCTTTAAAACTTTGTGGAAACAGAATAGATTCATTTCTAATAAAAATTTCTTTTGTGTCAATACATACATACATGCAGACACACACACTCACACACACACACACACACACACATTATACTGTATGTGACTGAAGTAAATGTAAGTTAAGATATTTATTAAATACAGTCATGTTTTCAGAAACATAGTCTGATGTCTCCTCACCTCAAGATTACACCTGTATTGAGCCAAGAAATTAGAACCTTGAAGTCACAAGGATAACTCAGTTCCTCTCTTATGTTTTCATATCCCTGCTCACTCTGCACTTGCGTTCCTCCTCCTCCTCCCGGCACACGGTACTGTTAAATTCACACATGATTCTGTTATAAACATGCCATGAAAGGATTTGCATGGATATAAATACAAACATACATATATATCTATACACACACACAGTTAAAAGTAGTAAATTGAGTCATGTTTTCAGGAACAAAGTCTAGTATAGCCTAATAAATGCTTTAAAATAAAACTCATATAGAGCACCAAAATAAAATTAGCCCGGTTTTTACGATGTTTTAGTATATTCATGACGTGAATATCCTTCACTTAATTAAACAGTTTCTTGCTGATGTTAGTGTGTCTTACCAGAACCAAAAGTTTCAAGAGTTTCCTATAATAGTCTCAATTACAAGCACCCTGTTATCCTCACCTGAGGATTACAGGTGTTTGCCAAGAAATTTTAACCGCGAAGTCAAAAGGATAACTCTGTTCCTCTTTTTATAATGCTTTCATATCCCTTTTCACTCTGCACTTCCTTTCCTCCTCCTCCTGCCTGTTTCACATGATACTGTTAAATTCACGAATTATACTGTTAAAAACATGCCATAAAAGGATTGTCATTGTTGGCTAAGCAGCACAGCAAATAGTTTGGCGTTTATTTGTACAGGAACAGGCAACTCGAATATAGCAACATTTTGTGTCGATCCTCATGAGTAATGTCAGCATTAACACGGACAGGGAGACTTCTGAAATGTACCTTTTCTATCTTAAACATTCTAACATTATTTCTCCTACATTTTAGATTCAACTTCTTTAAAGGAGGTATTTTTAGTCTAAAAACTTGCTAATATTCACGAAACAGCACTTCCAAATAAACAATAATATCCTGAGAGAAGTTGTCCTCTTACAATCTTTCACATAATCTTGACTCTCATACTTGACTCATCAGAAAAGCAATAGCTAAATATCTTACTATATTTGAAGTTAAACGTAATGACACTATTTGCCATGACAGCCTTACCTGTTGAGATGAATGTTGTTCACCTGACCATGCCTTATCAGAAAGCTTCGTTGTAACGTGCTCATCTTAAATAAACACTTAATCAGAAAGAGGAAGATGGGTGACACCCATTCTCTTCCTTCCATATCCAGTTCCAGTTAATTACATGTCAAAAAAAAAAACCCCTACATCCCAGCATGATAATTCCACAAGGTTTTATTGAAACACTTTCGCTTGAATATACTCTATAATTAAACATACATAAAATATTTGTTTTATACATTTGTTTTATAGAAAGTCATTGTTGCTGTAAATCTCAGCATTTCCTTCTTCGTGTGTTACAAAGTTGGTTGCATAAGGACAATTTCAACACAGTGAGTCGCTGTTTAACTTATAATGAAAGACAATAGTTGAGTGTAAAAGTTTAGGCCTGTTAAAATACTGAATTATTTCTCTGTTGTCTTTTCTTCCATCTCTGTGATTCTTTGAATGCCTGCCCACATCTCTGACTTTTTAAATATGTATATTATAGATATGATATAAAATGTTCTATAGGTATAGAATAATAAAGTGAAACAAAATGGCAGTTCAGTCTGATTATCTGGCTGTTATTCTTACATTGTAAACCTTGTTCTACTGTACATGTTTTGACTATACAGCGCTTAATTATGGTTATACCAATATATATTCAAATTGCAATTTCAAATACAGAAATGGTGTCCAGACCAAGAAATGTAAATATCCACATGTGCGCTCTCCTTGCAATTTGACCTCTTTTTATCCTCTCATCTTCTGCTCCCGTGCCATCTGACACAGTCCACACAGAGGCAGGCAGGCCATGACAACCCAGTCATCACACACTGAGCCCTGGGGAAAAGCACAGGCAGAGTAAACAATCCTCATTATGTTTGTGGTAAAATCATTTTACTGACAGGAACTGGGTCTGCATCTCATGCATCCTATTTTCAGTACAATTTTTTTGTTTGTTTTCTTTAGCACACTTACTTCAATGTGGTATCTGCTGCGAATACTTGTCCTTAGAGCAATCATGGCACCAGGAAGGAAGGGCAGGCAGCAGCTGTCCCCGTTGTCCTGAGCCACCTTACAGCCCAGGATACATGGGACAAATGTTGCGCAAAGACCTGGAGGTGAGAGACATTTTGTCATGTCGGGATTCATTTCGCAGTGTTGGTTAATTTTTGCCTGTGTACCTAAAATCACATACAGATGCCACAGTCTTCACAGCAATCGCACACATTTGAACTCCAGTCTGATGATCCAGAGGACACATTGTACTGTGTTCCTGACATCTGCGGCTGTGAGTTGATCACACTTGACTGGAACGTCATTGCTGAAATTAGAAGAAAAGGAATTTGAGGAAAAGTGAAGATTCAAAATGCCACACATATCAAAACCATGACCAAAAAAATATCTTGCTCCATGTCCAGTCTTGCGCAATTGAGGCTTCTGAGGTTGTTTTTTTTTCACTAATAGTCCATCATAAACCAGAAAGGGAGAAATTAAATTCATAGAATCTTTTATTGCATTTAATTGCTATGAAAATAAAGTCTTCCATGCAGGACTGGACAACTTTAGTTTGGAGGAATCACTGCTTCACAAAATCTCACCTGATCTCTCCCCTTAAGATTTGTGCGGTCTGACGTTGTTGATGATCACGGGCTAAATCCACAAACAGGAGGGCGAGGGCATGGCCACAGCTCTTATACCTGATGTGACATCAGTCATATTTCTGAGCTCCGTTCCTGTTCTGATACGACAGCGCAAACAATGACCATTTGAGCTGGTGCAAACACCTTGTGAAGACAAAACTCAAATGTTTAGTTTTGGGGCGTATTACGTCTTTCAAAAGGGTGCACTTTACATGACGCGGTTTTTATCAGCACACAGTAATTGAGAACAAAGTGGGCATATAGTGCATATTTGTAGTTTATCAATTTATAAACTAGGTTTTGCCTAAGTGCAGGTGTGGTATGTGTACACACTGTGGGCCCAGCTCTGTGAATGGGAGCTGTGACCATCAAGCACAGATATGAGTTGACAATAAAAAAAAAGGTTTGTGCTGCAATACATCTTTTTGTCAGTGCATATGTGTATTTGTATGGTATGCCCAGATGTATACATGAGTTGACAGAAAACACTGGAATCTACACACTAAATCTAAGCAACCCTATTAGCTGTAGACCCAGTGATTTATCTTTTTGCAGTTCATACATAACACATAAGAGAAAAACAATATTAAAATAGTATAAAAATGATTAAGTAAAATAAAAATACCAATGACATGTTTTATTTTGTCAACAATATAAACATGATATAACTGCACATACACACAAAACTAAAAACAGATATCCAACACAAAATAACACTTTTTCAGCAACACAGGCTGTACATAAATCTTAAATTAAATTAAAATAAATTAAACACCAGTCCAGTTAACTGGTCCCTTAAACATTCACAAACTTACCATGCTACTGAACGTGATCTTCATGTTCTGTCCGGCCTTCTTAAACAGCTTAAAAAACATACACTTTGATGCTCAAAGACTTTTCCTGATTTTATTCCATTCCCGAATTTAATATAAAATTGATGTCATGATTCAGAAGTACTTCTGTTTGGGGTTTCAGAGATGAATAAATACAATGGATTTTCATAACCTCTTTATACGTGATTGGTGTTGACAATACTTTTTATGCAGGACTACCCTCCTAGATCTCAGATTTATTGTTTATTTATTGACCCCAAACAAAAATGTATGTGGATAATATACATTTCTTTGACTGTGAATGACTTTTTTAGAAGCAAAGGGGATATGTATTTGTTGTTTTTAACATGAAATCTTTCCTTACAACAATGCTATATTGCCATTTCTGTATTTTGTCTCCAGCTCAGTTTGTGGAAGAAGGAAGGGTGGCCACCCACTTCAATACTTTTCTTCATACTGGGTTTTAATAAGGTTTGTAGAAAAGAAAAGAAAAATGTATACTTATAATTAGTTTATTTTTTCACACGGCAGTGTAGCCTGTGAGACACAATGTCAAAGTAAAGAAAATGTGAGCAAAACATAAGGATGAACTCTAATAGCAGCATTAAACCATTAGGTAAATGGGCTCTTTCTTGTGCATTTATATGATCAGCACTTGGTTGTATCATGGACATTATTGGATCTCATATTTAAGAACTTTTCTCTTTTTTTTTTCTTTTTTTTTTTTTGACTAGCACAGATTTATTGAAATGTGGCCTTAAATCATGATCCCACAAAGAAATCTGAACAGCAGGTATCATTAACAAAACTCAGATTACACCTGCCAACACAAGACAGGACATATAACAGTGGGCTGTTGCTATGCTCTGCTATGACTCATGTCCTGCATGTCTAATTTCACATCCCTCTCAAAGAACAGCTTGCAGTTTATATCTCAAATGTACTCACAGTGCTCAGGTGTTGTATCCAGGCTTGGTCTAAATCCAAAAAACTGCAAATCCCAAAAAAAAAGACATAAAACAAGATTATTTTTTTGTATCTGTTTTTTTTATTTTTTTTTATCAAGTTTTCCTCAGTTGACTAAAACAAAAACAACTTTTGAAAACAACCTCTGAACAGAACAACATGTCATTATGGCTGCTAATAAGAAGTGAAATGTCACACAGGTATATCATAACTTACAGATTTAGAACTGGTAAATTGTCTAGGTTGATCTATCGGCCAATAATTAAATAAATAAGTAAGGACATTACAAACAGAAATGCCAAACTGGGTGTGAGGTTGTTTAGAAATACTGTCTCCACTACACGCTTTGTCAACCAGAGAGCAATGCCAATACATCTTTATCACATTTTCAAACTTCCAAATATCAAAATGAGAATCAGCCTCAAAAATCCAGTAATGTCATCAAAGCATCAAAGACGGACACAATTTTTTTTTTCTTTATAGGCACTTTGGCTCTCAGAAGAGCAATGCTGGTCACCAGTCCCACCTGTACCATATTACTTGCAGACATAACTTCAGTAATATGTTTTTATTGCACTATTCATCATATAAAACAAGTCGATTATGGCAGAGGAAAGAAAAACATCAGTGATGTTGCACAATCATATAATTTACCAGAAGACTGGACGGTCGAAACAGAAAGAACCGCAAGTGTATTCAGTTCCTCTCACATTTTCACACTTTTTTTTTTTTTTTTAAGAAATATACTATATTAATACTGCGAAACATTTATCTCTCTTTAACATTTATTCTGTTCATCCCATCTCCCTCTGGTTTGTTGAGGTAGCAAAAAATGGCCTTTGTAACTCATGTCTGCACTTTATCTCTCAACCAGTATTTGAGTTTTGTTTGTCATCAGTCTATAGAGACACATAATAATAACAATTTCATTTTAATTTCCTTTAAATCTTCACCTAAACCTTCCCCTTGAAGCGAAAAAATAAGTTGTCATGTGGACAGAAAATCTGTTTCAGTGGAGATCTACTGCATTGAAGTCTTGCACTCCTTCATGCAGAAAAGTGTGAAATCTTCATCACATTATTTTTAACTTGTTCAAGTTGCTTTACAGAGTGTGATAAAGATTTAAATGTACATAATTTTACAGTTAGTCCAAAGCATCCCTAATACTATATATGCTTTAAGATAATGTTACTGTTTGCCCCCAAGTTTATTTGTATTTAACCACCTGTTGCTCTGTAATCAACTGTGGCGTTCTGACCTGCAAAACTCCTTAGTTTGCATCCTGTCTCAGAGGGTAAGTAAATCTTGTCGACCTTAATAAATTAATTTGTTTATATTTGTTTTCATTGAGGAAAAAATTACTGCAATAAGATAGTTCTAGTTTACACTTTGTTTAAAGTTAAAAGTGTTGCAATTAAAAATAATCAAAACCAGAAAGTACTTTGAAATCTTTGAAATTGTGTCTTAAACAGCTTTATTAGTATTAGTAAAGTATTTTGGACAATCTGAGCTTTGTAATATTCATGACAAATAAATAATACTGCTGAAAGGTCATCACCAAGTTACTATGATAAAATGTAATGCTTAACATCACAAAACAAGCTGAATATAAAGAAAAACATATGAAGAATCTGAAATTCCTGTCAACCAAGCAATTTCACTTCTCTTCCATTTGTGGAGGATTGCTTTGTGGAATCAGTTTCTGTTGATTGTAGATTTAATTCCCACAGACTTTGTTCCCTTTATTTAAGCATTTAATTTGTTAAAATAACATACATTGGATGTGCATGTCGGTGCACAACCCAGACAATAGAATATTTTTCCACATAGGGTGCATCAGTCATGAACTGACTGTCAGAAGGAGCTGCCTGCAGCCAAGTTTTAAAACGTATGTCATAATTTCCTTGAGACAGTCATCAATTCCTACTACAGCTATGTTTGCATCTGTCTAAAATGTGTGAGGACTCAGTTCCTGAAACCGTGACTTCTTCTTTCTGCAGTCTGAAAAATAGACAAAAGAAAAGGATGTTTAGCAAATGTGTTTATGAGTACATTGTGCTCTCTGATTCTTGGAGGGTCTCAGGAGTTGTGCTGCCTCCTTGTTTGCTACAAATATGGATCAAGTCACACCAACCATAGAGGATTACTGGGTGAGTGATTATTTCTATAATATAATAGGCTATGTGCATCATTATTGATTAGGAGACAGTGTTGTCCGAGACATTTCTATAAGCTGGTATCTGTAAAATGAGCAAGCAAACTACCATTGCAGAGAACATATTGCTCCAGATATTCTTAGATTATAGTTTGTAGTTAGATTAAGTATCTAACACATCTGTTAGTTTTCCTTTTTGATTAGTTCTAATATGAAAATGTGAATCTTTTGACCTTCATGCCAAAAGCAGCCCTGAATAAGGCTTAAGAAAATTAAGTAACTTAATAAATTGTTTCTGAAATGCTGAGACAGGTGGAATCCCTTCAATGAACTAAGCTTTTCTTGAATAACCCATGTCCTTTAAGTATCTGACAGTTTCACTCTCTTGCAGAACATGGATTATGACGAAAATTACACCTCGTCCCCTGAAACAAGCAGGACTCGTGCAGCCCCATGCTTACAGGAGGACATCTACGCGTTTGCACAGAAATACTCCCCTGTTGTTTACTGTCTGGTGTTCCTCCTGGCTGTTGTGGGCAACGTGCTGGTCCTATGTGTGATTCACCGCTACCGAAACTCTCAGAGTGGTGGCGCCTGTTCCTTCTCTCTGACGGACACCTTCCTTCTTCACCTGGCCATTTCAGACCTCCTGCTGGCCGTCACCCTGCCCCTGTTTGCGGTGCAGTGGGCTCACCAGTGGGTGTTCGGTTTGGCTGCTTGTAAAGTCTCCGGTGCCCTCTTCTCCCTGAACCGCTACAGTGGCATCCTCTTCTTGGCCTGCATCAGCTTTGACCGATACCTGGCCATTGTTCACGCTGTCAGCTCTGGCTGGAAGCGCAACACATGCCATGCCCAAATTGCATGCGCCTTCATCTGGGTGGCCTGCCTGGGCCTGAGTGGGGTGGATATTACCTTCAAACAGGTAGTGGTTGGCCATCACAAGCTGCTCCTATGTCAGGTGTGGTTCACTGAGAACTCCACACAGTGGCAGGTGGGGCTGCAGCTGGTCAGCGTGATTCTGGGTTTTGGGCTCCCTCTGTTGATCATGCTCTACTGCTACATCCGCATCTTCAGGTCTCTATGCAATGCCACTCGCCGCCAGAAGCGCAAGTCTCTCCGCCTCATCATCTCCCTGGTTTCTGTGTTTGTCGTCTGCTGGGCACCGTACAACTGCTTCCAGCTGGTAGATATTCTGCACAGGTTGGGCACAGTGACTGGAGGTTGCCAGTTTGGCCGTGTTGTGGACATTGGGACTCTGATCACTGAAAGTTTGGGGCTGTCGCACTGTGCCCTGAACCCTCTGCTGTATGGCTTTGTTGGGGTGAAGTTCAGGAGGGAGCTGGTAAGAATGTGTAAGGGGCTTCTGGGACAGAGAGGCTTGCTGGGGATGGAGGGATGGAGGCAGAGGAGGCCTAGAAGAACCACGGGCTCCTTCAGTTCTGCAGAAAGTGAAAACACCTCCTATTCTGTCATGGTGTGACACTGGTTAGAGAGACAGGAAGAAAGATATGTGGTTTTGAGTGAGAGGGTGGGTTTGGACTAAATTAAGAGAAAGAATATATGTACAGTTTAATTTAGACTGTTAAGAATGTCCTCCTCCTCATCTAGATTTCTGTGATGTATTTCTTCCAATGGTGCCTTTGCCATCTGGTTATGGTGCAGCTTACAACACTTTGTTCTGTTGTTGTTTCTCTCTTTTTTTTAAGAACACTGTATTAATATTTTGAAGTGAGGGTGGGGCACAGAGTAAAACAGAACTCCCCACCCCACATGTTGATGCTATCCAAGTCCAAATCCTGTGAAACATATTGATTTCTTCATACTTGTAGAAACCCTTGTTCAGCACTTAAAATGTAACCTGTGACGTCAGTAGACATATCTCAAATCCTTACACTCATTTTACTCATTTTGTGTTCTTTTTTTCTGCTGGCAGTTTTACAGCTCTTTTCTCAGCTGTGTGCTTCATAAAATGACTGTGCTGCAAAAGAAGAAGTGAGAAATTACTGTTTTTGAGTTTTGTATGTGCCATTAAAACCCAAAATCTTTGTAAGGTACAAAGGTGTTTTTAATAAATGTTTTTGAATAAAAACAAAGCGTCATGTACAGTATATTATACATCAACATGTGTGATGATGGGACAGTATGTCTTGGAGAGCACTGTGCATCTGGTTCTGAGACACATCGACAGAGAAGAAGTGCAGATCCAGAAAAGTAAAGTTCACATTATTTGCTCACAGAACAAATGTTACATTTTAATGTGAGATTATTGACCACAGCAAGTGTATTCAGATCATATACTAAAGTAAAAGCAGTGATACTGCAATGTAAAAAAAAACACTTATTAGTAAATGATACCCCCTATGACTGACATTTATATGACATAACAAGCATACATATTTAGTTATAGCTGGTGGAGGTGGAGCTAGTTTACAAACATATACAGTTTTAGGTCAGTGGTTCCCAGCCTAGAGTTTAGATCCCCCCAAAGGATAACAACATAAATTTCACAGGTCATAATGGGAGAAAAAAAAGAAAAAAACTAAGTGATACACAAATTTGTGTTACATTTTCTTTTCTCTAATCATCGACCTTAATTTTTTTATTTTTTTTATTTTGCATGTGTGTGTGAATATAGGCTCCTGGAACATGTGACCTCATTGGGCATCAAACTGTTATCTAAATTGAACTACCTGACATTTCTCCTTGGTGGAAAGTGCACAACTAACAACTCATATACATCTGAAACATGATGAGTGGCTCCAAATACACACTTCTTTTTTTTATAAGGTATCACATGTCAAAAACACTGGGAACCAATAATCTTTAACATTGCATTGTATTTTGTAAGCCTATTATTCATTAGCGTGTTTAGCATGTTAATTTTAATGCAAAATGAATCTCAAATTTTGAGAGATCGCTCAATGCTCAAGTAGCCTTTAATCTATCTTTTCTTCTGAAAGGTAATAGAATAGAATTAAAGTAGCCTGGCTTAAAATGGAAATGCTTGGAGTAAAAATAGTAGGCCTACTTACTTACTTACTTACTTACTTACTTACTTACTTACTACCTTTTTTGAGCTTTCTCTATAACTGAGTGAGTCAGACCAGAATCCCCTCACTGTCCACTGTGTAAAACGAATCTATTCTACACTTTGGAGACACAAGCACAACAGTTCCACCTAGTGGAAAGCGGCTCTTTGTGCGCCGCATTGTTTGCTTTGTGTCCAGCGTCCGTGGTTGTGTCAAGTCAGGCAAAGCAAGAACGCGGAAGTTGGGAAACTTGGCCTTCAAAATTACGCACCTGTTTTCCACCCTAATAATTTTGGCCATGCAGACTGTGCCATTTTTTTTCATACTCCGTGCTTTTCAATGCACACTAAAGAGGCCTGTAAATTTATCAGCCTCTTCCTTTAAAATGTCTACTTGCAGGCGCTGTGGTGAATTTGATTAAGGGTTTTATTTTGAAAAGCAATTGATGATGACTCGGTTTCTCGTGTGAGTTGGGAGATTTGGCAGAGGTTGCAGCATGCGAGAAACGTGACGGTTGGCCTATCAAAAGAGTCCAGTGGGAAAGCAATAGAAGTGCACGTTCCCATATACGTGTAATACAAGTAGCCTAAAAGATACAACCGGTATCGGTATGTCCGCGCAGCGCGTCCGTGTTGCAGCTACTAAAACTTCCAGCCGTTAAGCGTCGCCAGCTCTTGCAGTTTCCGCCACAGTTTTTCTTTTTTTCATCCTCAGGTCATTTAAATATTCGGCGTTTGACCTTCAGTATAAGTTTAGTGGTGATTCCTTGTGTCCCGTGTTTGCGCGCAGACACGCAGAAAGCGTCTGGAGTTGACGGACACCGGACAGTGGCAAGAGCTCCTCCGCCCTCCCTCCAAAAAAGAGCGACAGTAGTTCAGTGTACAACGTGTTGACCGCGGTGTGAGGGGGGTACGTGCAGGTTGCTGTGTTTGTCCTTTTTTTTATCATCATCATCATCGATTCACAGACCAGTTGTCCTCTGACTCTGACTCAGCCTTTTATGGTAAGTGAGATAATATATTTGAAAATTTATCACCGTCTGATTTTTCGTGTTATAAATATTCTGTCTTTGATAATAAAGGCTACATTAACGTGGTGCACATTTTAGTTGTAGCAGCTATTGCCATACTAATAATAAAGCGAAGTCTTTCCCTTTCTGTTTCCTTTTTGGTCTGTTTAGAAACTGCTGCTTGCGGTAGCCTGTACCCTAATGCATATTTATCTACGCAAATCTCTTATCTTAGCACATAAGAGCATTTCTCGTTTCGTGGCGCAGGCAGTAAAGAAAGCTGCGAAAAGTTAAACCGCCTCTGTGCGTAAAAATATATTTTTTTAAGTTTGAAGTGTGTGTGTGTGTGTGTGTGTGTGTGTGCGCGCGCGTGTGTGTGCGTGCGTGCGCGTGTGTGTGTGTCAGCCTCAGCCTGACCAAGGGGAACTTTGCTTTCGGTTAAAACCCACTCCAAAGTTGCCTCATCCTGTGACATCACTCCACCATGTGAGTTGTGTGTGACCCTGTTTATAAAGCTTGAGCTGGACTTCCCAAGGGTGATTTTAAAGAATTTATTTCAGCTGATGATACAGAGAGAGAGAGAGAGAGAGAGAGGAGTGAATAAACTCATATTTTTTGACAGCTGACCTCGGAGACACTGCAGTATTTTTGATTTCTCTGTGTTTAACCTTTTTGTCTCCACAGTAGAAGAACATGGAAGTAATACTTGATGGATTTCTTAATCAGAACACTACCTATGATTACACTGACTATGAGATAAAAGGTGACTTAGAACCTGAAGGCAGTGAGGCGTTGTGGATCCTGGCTCTGTACTCCGTGGTGCTGGTTGTAGGTCTGCTGGGGAATGTGCTGCTCCTGGCTGCTTTGGCACAGAAGAGGCTATCTTGGAGTACATCAGATACCTTTGTCCTCCACCTGGGTGTCGCAGACATCCTGCTGCTGCTGACACTGCCCCTCTGGGCTGTGCAGGCTGGTCAAAGTTATGGATGGTTCTTTGGGGATGCCCTCTGCAAGATCAGTGGAGCTGTTTTTAATGTAAGTACCATGTGTGTGGAGGGGAGTGAAAGTGAAAGAGAAATAGTTTCAGTGAAGCTGTGAGAAAGTTTGTGTTTGGCTGAAGGCCATTATTTCTTGCTTAATGAAGACTCTTGGCAGAAAAGGTTCATTGTTGTTAATACTGTTCTTGAGAAAGTGTACTCCCCTGTTGACATCCGCATTCCAGGTATTTCAGCATTTCTGGGAAAAGGCGAGAGGAGTAGGAAAGAAGTGAAAGCTTTGATAGAGATGGCTGGGTTGTTTCTGTGTTACACTAGATCAAAGTAACACTGCCACTATATACGGGTATTGACAATAACTGTCATATTTAAAAACTAGATATTGAGAGATATTGAAATCATGGTAATAATACATATATGATAATATCGTGATGGCAGCTGTTATGCCTTGTGGATCTTTTGTTGAACAGTTCATCTGGTCAACTTTTTACTTTCCCATTAAGTGTTATTGTTGTTTTAATACAGTATAGTACAGTTATAGTTATTTGAATCTAATGAATTTAACAAAAAAAAAGTTAAAGAATTTGACTCAAAGCATTATTATAATTTCTTTAATGTATTTTCTACAGATTTCACAATAATATTGTTATTGTGAATTCTTTTGGCCACAATAATTGTTTAGTTAGAGTATTGTGAAAACCCTAGATCAGAGTTTTAAGTTTTCCATTTCTTTTTCTTAGATCAACTTCTACTGTGGAATCTATCTGCTGGTTTGCATCTGTCTAGATTGCTGCCAGTTCATCGCCAACACTACCCCGCTGTTCTTCCTCAAGAAACCTGTGTTAGTTCATCTCAGCTGCCTGTCGGTCTGGGTCATCTCCCTGCTCCTCTCCATCCCTGATTTGACTTTTCTAATGGCAGAGGAAGATGCAATGTGTGTTCCCAAGTACCCTCAGTCAGAAACTAACTGGAAGCTGTTGTCACGCCTGCTCCACCACACACTGGGTTTCCTGCTGCCCACAGCCACCCTGATCATCTGCTGCTCCTGTGTCCTGCCTCGGCTGCAATGCAGATCAGAAAGCCTCCAGAAGCAGAGGGCCATCATGGTCATCCTGCCCTTGGTGGTGGTCTTCTTTCTCTGCTGGATGCCATACAACATCACACTCATTATGGACACCTACCTGAACAGCTCTAAGAAGCCACACGATGGTTCATCTGGAAACCCTGAAGGTTCTCTGAAAACAGCTCTGATGGTCACAACTGGTCTGGGTTGTGTTCATGCCTGCCTCAGGCCTCTGCTCTATCTCGGCCTGTGTGGAAACTTTAGGAAACAGTCCCTGGCCATGCTGAGATGTGCTGCAAATGAATCTATAAGCTCGCTGTGGGAGCTGGGTGTGGGAAAGGAAGTCCTGCCTGACCAGAGTCATGAGGGAGAGCTGAAACAGATGACAAGTGAGCATCAGCAGGTGTAGTCAACACAGTGCTTATGAATGCCCTGTGACTCAAAATTCACCTGAACAATGGATTTAGGATGAAATCATGTCATGGGTTCAAGGAGTGGAGGACTATATTCTGTGCAATGATGAGTAATAGATATTTATTAAAGAAAAAAAACTCTTACATTGCACTTTAATGTGAAGGCTTCAGAGCCACATCATGGTGACTGTAGCTTGTCATCCTAAATCATGAGTTTTTTTATTCAATTTTGGATATATTTTTTTACTGTGTATTATTATGTGTATTATTATTTTGATGATCATTATAATTGTTATGAAAGCAAACTGTTAGATCATATACTTCATGAAGAAACTGTTGTGTCAGTGAACAGTTTCCAGATGTTAAACAATAATCATATAACTAATGCCATAATCAGTGATATAATAAGGAATATAAGCTCTTATCCTTGCCAGTTTTATTGTGTGCTTGTATTTAACAGTCCTACACAGTTTATAAGTTTATTTCTGATAACATATGTTATTAGAAATAATATCACTTTTCATTTTCCTTGTTATCTTGTGCTTATCTAAAAACAGTAAAGACTGTGTGGATTCCACAATTGCACAGTGAGTGTGTGGATTTCTGTTAACAAACATAATGCTGTGAGGGAATTTCCCACGGCAAATCCCACTGCCTTTTTTCTTTTTGGACTTCACTGTTGCAACATGGACGTGTGTGGTCTTTGAGACACTGGATGATAAAAAGAGGTGGTGATGTCATCAGTCAGGTGACAGAGCAAGACAGAGGCGGAAGAGAATAAAGCGCTCTCTGCTGGGGCTGCGGCCTGCTCATAGATCTCTGCTTACACTCATCTGAAGATTTGTCTGTTGCATGGAGAGAGAACTGTGGCATGCATTGTGTGTCAGGACAGCTGACTGAAGGAAAAAAAGAATGTAGTTAGAGGGAAGAAGAGGATTTAGAGAAGAAAAAAAATCTTATTTTAAAGATATGCTATAAGACATGCTGTGCTGAGTACCAGCTCTGTGGTTTTACCACCACACTGCTGTGTTACAGCCGGACAAGCCTGATTTCTGGGCTCAAGGCCAAATAATAATGTTAACACTTACAAATGTGACCTGAAATAAAGTTGTACTTTCACCATTGAGTATTTTGATAGAAACTCAGATGTACAGTCATTTCTCACTTGAAATGAAACTGTGTCACTTCCTGCAGCCCATGTGTTTTCCTTCCTCTTTTTCTGTTACGTGAGTGGTGTCGAAGTTCATCTAGAGCTGAAGCCTTATGAAGAGTGTATTCTGATCTGAAAAATGCTGCTTGACTGTAACAGCAGTAACATGTCACATTCTCTTTGAGTATTGCATCAGATTGAAGTGTCATTTCCTGTTTCCACTAAAGCTTATCTGTTCTCTAAGACAAGCGGCTGATCAGGACTTAACAAACCTTAACATAAACCTTGTTTTACACACGACAGATTCATTCCTCCCAAGAAAATCAAGGCACAATGCTCCATTAAAGTACGAAAATTAAAAAAAAAAAAAATTCAGGATCATGACTAGACGCATGTTGACCACACACCACACAAAGCTTGATGTGTATGAACAGGCCTGAGGCCAAAAAACTGGAACAGTAAACAAACCTGTCACTCACTTTGCTCTCAGCCACAGTGACTGAAACCAGTAGGGCCTCTCGACTGAGATGTCTAACCTGTAGGTACACTGATTGTTGCCAGGATGTTTCTTACACCACCGCCACCACCACCACCACCACCACCACCACCCTGCTGTAGTCAGACATTGTATTTGCCTCGCTTGCAAATAATGAGTAAGACATGCTGCAAGGAAAAGGTGTGATGGCACATAGTGGTTTTTATAATCATCATGCAAGTTGGTTGAAATATAGACATTTGCCACAAGCCTCGAGTTTTTCTCTGCACTCCTTGCTCATCGATTTTTTTTCTCATTTCTGCTTAAACCACGTGTGCAGATGAGGATGTGCGGCTGCTTTTGTGACTTTGTTTCGATTTCCTGTGTCAAAGATGTAAGATATTTCCAGTGAAACCACCACATTTTGGTTAGCAGCTTTCTTGTCAATACGTGTGCTTTGTTAATCACCTAACCTTGACTTTTTCATAGAAAGTTCCATACGCATAATATATTACCATTCTCAGATACATGCTCAATACATACAGGAGGAAGAGAAGGAATAGAAAAAGGATGTTGCACAGTCTAATTTCTTTGAGTTGGGAGGTTTTTCTTTTGTTGTGACGCACTTTGTGAAGTTTGCTATATATATATATATATTAAATTTACTTGTTTAACTTTGTTCTGCAAACCTATCTATCCTCTATCTGCCATCAACAGCCATTACCTGTATACAGTGTAGGCCTACTTCTGTAACCATGCTCCTAGCTTTATAGAAACAAGTATGCAAAAAAAATCTTTTTCGATAAAAAAGATTACAATTTAGAAAACCCACAGTAAAAATGGCTGAAGTAAAACACAAGTTGTTACAGTTCACAAGATATTTTAAACAAAGTGCATGCCTGTTGAGATTAAACAGTAGCCTTAAACAAATAATAACAAAAGAAGTATAATACAAGCAAAAGATAAATCCTTGGGCATTGACTGGTTCCTTCCTGCAGCAGAATCTACATACAGTAAGACTGAGATTGTTAAACAAAGTGGACCTGGCCTGGTTTCAACAAGCAAAAGAAAGGCCTCTTTAAACTGGAAAGTCCAAGGCATGGGGTGGCTGACCGGAGGCGTGGGAAGGTTCCCAGTGGGCCGGACCACTTGTCTGGCCCAAGGGCCAATTTTTTATAAATTGTTCATGTAGATTGTGGCTTTAGGTTCTTTAAATTAAATCTGACAGTTATGACTTTAATTTAACATCAACTTCACATGGCAGCTTTAAGCAGAAGGCTATTTGGCCGGTGGTACAAAATGAAAACAAATCATTGGCCTAATAATGAGAGAGAGAGAAGGAGAGAGATCGGTGTGAGTCAGTGTGGCCTTCATTCTCACATCTGCCCCTCGTTCCCGTGGCTCCGTCCACCAGGCGGCCAGCGGTGGACTGCTGCTGACTCGCTTTACCTGAAAAGAAGTTCAAATCCAGTTGTGTATCTGCAGGCAACAGACAGGAGGAGCAGAGCAGCAGGTAAGGCCAATTTTACACTAAAAGACACAATAAATATTTAGTCTGAGGTCATTCAACAGCATGATGTTGTAGTGCTTAATATCTGTGTGATTATCTGAGATCTAGTTAATTTTATTACAGAAAGTTCCAAAGCAGGGAGTAAAACTACTAAAATGAAATTATGTTTGGAGTTGTAGGCCTATTTCCTGCTGTTCAGTCCTGTCTGGATTCTAATCGGACACCTCTACAGCTACTACCCTAAAGAGCGAAAAAAGGAAGTACAGTTTGGTTGTTCTGTTTCATGTTCTGTTCTATAAATCATCTATCAGTCCTACATGATAGGTGTGACATGGGCCGTACAGTATGTGATGGTTACTCGAGATGGGCTTTCGTGGACCACTCCAGGTCAAAAATCCCAGGCCGATTTATATTCTGTTGCTGTACTGTAATGTAGGCAAAACGCTGGTTTATGATTCAAAAAGTAAAATTTTATTCTCTATTTGAATATTCCATATCCAAAACCAAGATAAAGCAGTCAAAATATGTCACAAAATATATGATTTAAAAGTTTGTTTGTAAAATAGAAGATACAGTAATAATACTCACTGCAGTCCCTGAAAAATCCCTGTCACTATACATCATATCCTCACTTAGTTACAAATTAAAATATGTAAAGTTTTCACATTTTTTTCCACAACATTTCATGTTATTTATTCATTTGAATGTTAAATGTTCAGTTTATTTACATCATGCTATATATGTTGATCCAAAGCCTTCTCCACACTGCCAGGTGTTTTCTACCCAAAATATGTTGGGATATTTCACCTAAAACATATCAGAATAAGCCTTAACCATTCTAATGTATAATATGTGCATAGCCACAGATTTCCTGATTTTTTTTTACTTGACTTTGGTGAAATAGAAAGTGAAATAAAAAGTCAAAATCCTGGGTGGGATCCACATCCACTGGAAATCCCAGCAGCCAAAAAGATTGTTTTAAAGAGCAGCCTGCAGTATAACAGTGGATTCAGCCAAACACATCTGTGCAATGAAAAAATTGTCTACAGGCTTCCAATTGAAACAGAAAGACAATAGCACACTTGATCAACAGATTGAATCTGCTGCTTAATGTGTTTTAGTTGGCTTACTGTTGTATTATTTGTTTATATATTATGTTTCCAAGAAGGGGGTGTTGATATTGTCGCCTTTGAATGGTAATCTCATGGTCTTTTGGCTCTGTTGCTGTACAGTCATCTTGGCAACACACTTGTCTATGATTAAAAAAAATTAAATTAAATTTACTTTGTATTTGAATATTCCATAATAAAAAATAAATTAAAAAAACAAGATGAAATATACGCTATGAAATATGCCAAAGTTGGTTTGTGAGACAGTAGATAGCTACATTAATAATACTCACTGCAGTATTGCATGACGTGCTGACTATGATACAATGCTGCTTGATAGTCAGAATAGGGAAATGTTATTTTTCTACTACTCAAGAAAAATTAATCTGCTGCCCAAAAGCACAGCTGTATGACCTTGAGTTACAGAGCAACAGAATTATTTTTGTCCTGTGTATGTTCATGTTCAGCTGCTAAAGTGCTATGAACTACAAGAAAGCTGAAAGAAAGCATAGCCTGTTACAGGTCATACAACACAGGAAATAAGGTTCGTGTCTCTGTCGTCGTTTCAGTCAAAGTCTGCTTGTAAGCTTCAGGTTCATCAGTCGGCTTGTCAATAGGTTCATTTCTCTCTCTCAGATAGCCATGGAGTTGGAGGTGTCGGCAGACTCAGACCAAATAGAGGTTCTCCGGCTGCTGACAGCTGATTGAAATTTGACGCTCGTCTTCAGCATGCAGCCCAGAGACCTCAGGATGTTGAAGAGCTGACGCCGGAACTTCACACCCACAAAAGCATACAGGATGGGATTGAGGCTGCAGTGGAGGTAACCAATGGAGGAGGTGATAATCTTAGCTTTCTCCAGAGATGATCTGACTCCACAGGTGTCGCTGTTTTTGTTGGAATGAAGTGTTTCCGCCATGAGTGTGATGTTGTATGGCGTCCAGCAGAGGAAGAAAACCACCACCACAGCCATGATGACCCTGAAAGCTCTCTGCTTTTGAAGGCCCTGGGTGCCACACCGCAGCCGCCGCAAAATACAGGAGTAGCAGAAGATCAAGATAGCTGAAGGAAGCAGGAAGCCCACCGTGTGATAGAGCAGGCGTGATGTCAGGCGCCACTTCTCTACTGACTGAAAGGAAAACTTAAGGTAGTTGCGAACACACTCTGTTTTGTTTCGTCTGTCATCCAACAAAGCTTCCAAAAACATCCAGTCAGGGATAGAGAGGAGCAGGGAGAAGAACCAGACGGCAAAACAGCTGGCCTGAACCACCCAAGGCTTCTTACGGGAGTACATCTGGGTAGCATGAACAATGGACAGGTAGCGGTCCAGACTGATGCAGGCCAGCAGAAAGATCCCACAGTAGAAGTTGATCTGAGGGCACAAACAAATCAGCAAACGAGAAATGAAATAAAACCTCCGTATACAAACCTCTGAATATATGCTATCAAGAACTTTTCTATAATGCATGTAGCTCTAGTGCTTCTTTCCTGTTGCACATCTCTTACCGTAAAAACAGCTCCAGTGATCATGCAGATAGGAGTACCAAATGTCCAGCCTTGAACTTGAGCGGCCTGCGCAGTCCAGAGGGGCAGGGTCAGCAGCAGCAGGACATCAGCCACGCCCAGGTGGAGGATGAAGGTGTCTGTCACACTCCAGTTCTTCCTGCTCTTAGCCAGAACTCCCAGGAGCAATCCATTTCCCAGGAGGCCCACAACAAACGCAGCAGAGTACAGAACTGGGATGAACACCGCCTCAAAATGTATGCCCTCGTTCAGGTCACACACGTCACCCCCCTCACAACAGTTGGTGGCATCGTAGGAGTAATTAAAAGTATAATCTTCCCACCATAAGTCTTCTCCACTAATCGAAGCACCTTTGTTGAACAGGTCACTCTGCAGAAAAAGAAGAAGTATAGGTAAAGAAATCTGCATTAATTTGGTTTGAGAATTTGACCTGTTTAGTCAGCTTCAACCACATGGTGGTGCTATCTATCTATCTATCTATCTATCTATCTATCTATCTATCTATCTATCTATCTATCTATCTATCTATCTATTTATCTATTTATCTATCTATCTATATATCTATCTATTTATCTATCTATCTATCTATCTATCTATCTATCTATCTATCTATCTATCTATCTATCTATCTATTTATCTATTTATCTATCTATCTATATATCTATCTATTTATCTATCTATCTATTTATCTATCTATCTATCTATCTATTTATCTATCTATCTATCTATCTATCTATCTATCTATCTATCTATCTATCTATCTATCTATCTATCTATCTATCTACGTGATGCAAAAGCAAGAGATGTTCTTTCAGGAGGAGTAAGTCCAGAGTGTTCTGTTTGCTCTCTGTCTTATAAGCACATCCTGCATGATTTTTGAAGAAATAAAAAAAAAAAATCATCCTGAAGTCAATTTCTTTTTTTTATTCTTAAAACTCTCATGGCAGTATTCATTAAAGCAAATCTAACAAAAAATATTTTCAAAAGTGAAAAAGGAGTAATATGTCTTGTTATTATAAAGTAATAATCTCAGTTCCCTTTTTAGCTGGAGACGGTATTGACCACTGTTAGGGTTTGTACAAAATTGCTCTCCGCTGGCATATGGGGAAGAGAAATTGATGCACGTGTACAAGAGGAAGCAGTACACTGATCATTCACAACATTAGAACCAGTTATAGGGTTTAATCTTTCATGTTGTGATTGATCGGTGTATAAATGAATAGTTTGTAGCGAGTTAAGACCCTTTGATGAACTAAAATATGAATCGCAACATTGATTATCATCTGTAATGTGTTGCATAATTATCTTCTTTCATTTTAAATGCTTCACAAGCAGACTACCACACAGGAGTTGGCAATGCTCCATCATTCTTTCCTCGCTTGATCCTTCACAAAATGCTACAACTTTTTAGTGAACGGCACAGTAATGTATTGGCACACCAAACCACATGGTCTCTCACTGTGAGTGTGAGAACAAGTAGAAAAATGGGCGAACAAAAGAAGTAATGAAATAATACAATAAGATAGATAGGATAATGGACTGCATCAAAATTAAGTTTCTTTTCATCAATAATTAGCTACTTAGGTAAAGACAACATACACAGGTATACAGGGAAGGACCAAATCTGTTGAAACACATTACATGCATGTGATTTTCAGATGTGAATTGAAAATCCTCAAATAATAAAGAATAACATATGAATATGAGTAAAGGATGGTATGTGCATCTAAGAAATTAGAAAATAGCATAAGTAAGTAATAACCTACCAAATTGCCTGACATTGTCTTCTCCTCAGTGGGCATGTTCACAACAGAGCAGAAATGAGCTAAATGATCCACTGTTACCAATAGCAATCTAAGTAGGTGACAAAGGAAGTTAAGCAGACAGGAAAAAAAAAAAACTTGAGCCACAAAACATTTAGATGTCTTTTAGTTCAGAGAAACTGTTACAATATTACTATTGCATTGATAAATGTCATTCAAACCTCATTTTATTGTTTCTAGGCTACTTTTTTATTATTTCTTTAAAAAATTATATATAGGCTAATAATTTCTTTTGCTGCTGAAATTTGATTGATTGTTTGAAAGAAGTCCCTCTCCACAGACTCACATCACATTCACATCACATTATGAATATGCTTAGAATATATTATATGTCACAGTGTGAGTAAGCTGTTTCACTTTCTAGAGAAACTGATGAATAGTATTTCTTTGAAATAATACGGACTGATTGTAAAAAGAAATGAAACACATAAGTTGCATTTGGTGTGGAGGTTGTTTTTCAGAATCTGTTGGTGTTTAAAAGAAAGGCATCGAACTGGTTATATAGAAAATATGTATGTGTGGACTACGTGTTCATTCATTGTCATTTGAGTGACTGACAAACTCAGGAGAACATCTGCCTTTGGTCTGGTCATCGGAACACCAGTGAAAACATTTTACTTTCAAGTTGACAAAATGTTTTGCATCATTTTGGTCTTTTAAAGAAATGTTCTTCAACTTCCCTTATATGAGCAATATTAGAGGTGAACCACCATCACACAAGTTATCCTCTGCATGAATGATCTCTCCTTTATAGTTTCACTATCTCTGGTGTGATTGACAACAAGTTATTCATGTGTGTGTGCTTGCACCAATTGACCCCAGGATTTGTTGTCATGCACAATGACAAATAACAGAAAAGACACAAGGTCACAGCAGATGATATAACAGCCACTACAGAGGTAAGTGTACCTAAAAACAAGACCAGTAGGAAATACACACGAAATTAAACTTTAATAGTTTCTTAGAATTTTTTTCAGAAAACCACAATGCCAGTATGATTATAAACAAAAATAATAAATAATAATTATAGCTTATCTAATGTTGCTATTCACTTGAATGAAGACAGACAGTGAAAACTGCTCAACTCAAAATTGCTCAACTGAGCAATAAAATAATATACTGTGGTCATGTTGTTCACCTTTATCATCTCACATACCTGTTGATAGGTATAGGACAATATATGCTGACACACACACACACACACACACACACACACATTCACAAAATAATGAATGAACTTGTTCTTGTTGGTTGATCAGCTGCTCACTTTCATTATAAAAGCCTTATCAGTCTATCAGAATTATTCTTCCTCTTGACGCTATTTATATACTGTATATCAGTGTAAAATCTCCTCTTTAATCAATTTCAAAAAAACATTTCACATATGCAGTTATCTCCAAACCAAAACCTCCAAAGATTTTTATCACCTTTTTTTTTTCTCTCTCGGTATGACTCATATATGCACCCAGGCAAAGACCAACATGCAAACACAACACCTGCAACAGTACAGTTCATGAGTCTCTGACATCTCAGCTTTTTCCTGTTTTTTCACACCTTTCACACCTCACGTCAGTCAATGCAATGAACAATGTTGACAGAACAAAACTGAATTGTGCTTTATGCGAACCACAGCCTGCGTTTCTGATTTGTTACTTAACACTTTGAAAGGGATTATTTATGATTTAAAAGCACAAAAGAGAAATAAGAACTATAAATGCTGATAGCTTCAGTGTGGCTTCAGACAAAAGCCGTTGTGTTTCATTTTGATATCCACAATAACTATTTCTACACCTTTTAGCTGGACACCTAACAGCAGATTTAAACTTTGCTCACCGGTCTTCCTTGTCAAGTACTAGACAGTCTCTCTCTACCTGTTGAAATGACTCACCAACATATAATACACACATAAAATACCACTTTTTTTTTTTTAACAGATCTCTTTCAGAAATGTTCAAGTTAATAATTTGGATAAAGGGAGATGAAGTAAAAAAAATATGTTTTTCAGTAGGTATGTTAGATTGTGAGTGTACCCTGTGGAAACCATGGAAATATTTCACTTGAGGAACCGAAAGAGCAAAAATGCGAAGGAAAAAATTTTCCACGTGCCAGTTTTGATCTCTATAATTATGCACTATGGTTTTGGTTGTCTTGTTGCTAAGAGGTAATACCAACCAATCATTATACACTGCCAGCTGTCCGCAGTGTACAAACTCAACAGTTACAATCATGGTTCTTTGCTACATTATCTTCAACTTCCTGTACTGAGGGCAGTAAGAAACATAAATTATGGTGATACAGATATGAGGAAACTAAATTAATTATTTATGATTTTAATGAACAGATAAAATATCAAAGCGCCTTGAAAGAAGTATCCTTTCACTGCCTTTCACATCTGTAGAAATTGTTGTGTACACCCCGGTGTGTGAACCTGCTTTTGGTTTTGACGGAAAAATGGTTTGTTTTACCACATTGAGGTTAGTGTGACACTCACATCAGACCCTGCATTGGAGGCCGTACCTACAAATGGCATCAGTGATGACTACGTATCTGAAGATGCACTTAAATGTTTGAGTCTTCAAAAGGTTGTTACAAATTTCAGGATTAACAGAACAAAAACGGGACACAGCCCAAATATCTGACAAAGTCCATCTGACAATTTTAAGATGTGTTTGGTTGATAAGAGTTTCTCCCTTTAGGTTCTAGTGACGACTCTATGAGTTTGTTGCAGCTTGATCTCTTTTACTGTGAATAAGTGACCCACATCATCATCACATCAGATGACCCTCTCTGAGCAAGCCTCCCAATGCATGGGCCTGGTGGTCAGAGTTGGCTGGGGAAGTCCCCTTTAGTTACATGAAACTGCACAAAGTGACCTGATACACCAAGACATATTAAAGGGACAGTTACCTCAGGTATGCATTTTAAAATCTGTGAAGGTTGATAAACCTCAGAGAAAACATTTCTTCAGTTGTGATGCATCATCAGTGTCAGTGTCGGTGTCAGTGTCAGTGTCAGTGTCAGTGTCAGTTTGGGATTTGTGAGGCCTTGAAGTTTTAAACCTAAACACATTGGCTGCAAACCCTCAAGAGTAGGCAGATCATTATGTAAAAGAGACAGAAACCACAGTACCCCTTGAGGATTTCCTGTGACATTTGTAGCTGTTACAAACATTCATACATACATATTTGTACCCTTTATATTTTAGCAGTGCAGCCTATAGTTCAACAAAAATTCACCTTTGTGAATATCAATGTGGCAAAGATATGTGTTTTGTTTTACACATTTGACAGTGTGCAAAATTCATCTACTTTGTAACTGGAATAAAGTTGATATTTATTATAACATCTGACATTATGTATTGGAGTCCTACCTTACCATCAGAGTGAAATCTAAGTCATACAATGTGCATGACAACCTATGAGTACCAAGAAATGTGTGTGTAAATGGGAGAAGGGCATAGAAACCTATATGAAAACCCCTAAAGCAACTGTCATTCCAACTCAAACGCTCACCGAACACATGTAATATGAGGGGGATGTAAGAGCGTAGATGTGTCTTTGGTTAAAGAACAATATTTTTCTGTCCTTTAGTCTGAGTTTTAATGGAGTTATATCGCTATCATGTACGTAGACTATGGTAATGGACAAGCAAAGCCGCTACATTGTTTTGGTTTCTGTTTTAAATTGTTGCAAAAGATCCTTTAAAGGACAGATACACAGACAAAAGGCAAACAGCCAACAATACCTTACACCATGTTGAACTTGGTGTGAGAGATGATCACATGAGCCACATTGCAGTCTCATGTTGGCACTGTGGCTCCATCTGTTGGATATACTCACATCATGAACCCTTAGAATTGTGTTTTGAATAAAGGACTTCTGTATGATCTAATTCAGTGGTATGGGTGGACTTGAATGGGATCACTAGGAATTAGTCTTTTTAAAAGAGGATATACAGCTACAGAAATTAAATTTGAAAACATGGGGAAGGGATATTAAAAAAAGGTCCTGACACACTGTAGCTTTCATATTTGTGTCAAATTATGCAATAGGGTTTGTTTGTTTGTTTCATAGCACAAAGTCTTCACAGTGGATACCACACCAGGAGCAGAAGCCCATCTTGTCAAGAACTGGGTCCAACTCTGCTCTCTGATACCTAATATCTAAACTCTCAGCAGCTGCAGCAAACAGGAGTGAGACACTGATAACAGAAAGCTTTGGCTCCTTCACTTGCAAGTAAGAAAGTCGAGAAAAAAATCTAAATAGGCAGTTCTTATTAAAAAAAAAACAAAAAAAAAACTAAGGCTCTGCATTAAAGGGAAGATAAAGACTCGTCTTGACGCTCTCATGATGTAATATAATGATACAACGACTGTTGTGTTATCAGTGACAAACAGGAATACAAGCTGGCATGGTCTTTCCTGTGCAGACACAAAATACACTGTCTCAATCCTATTACAGTTGAATGACATGGGTATGAAAAGTGACAAAATATCAGACAAAATTAAAATAAAAAAGATTTAAGAAATCTACACAAATCGTGAAATTTTCAAAACGTGTACGAGTCTGTTCAAATACAGTCCAGATAAAATATAAGATTATCACAAATAACTGATTAGTATATGTGCCATGGTGGGTTTGTGTAGTGTTGTAGTATAATGGTAGTTGGATATATATCTTCTTTCGTCATTGTAACAGAGAGGGTGTTTTTCTCTCTGCCAGGTGAGCAAAGAGAGGTGCAGAAATGCACATCTGCTCGGGAAGAACTGACCAAAATAATTTCTTTTGCAACCTCCATATCCACTAGAGGGCAGTGTTAGATGAACCCTGGTCAGGTTTGCTGCCTGTGTCAAAAATACGGAAAAGGAGTGTGCCTGAAGTCGGTACGCGCTGTGATAGTGCTGTTTGTGGGGTTTCTACTTTTCCAGCTTGTCCCCGAAACTCATTTTTCAGTTTTTGCTAGCGTAAGAAAACATATCACTCAGAGCCAGGTG